GTAGGGAAATTAAAGCAGAATAACACTCCCAGTTCTCTCTAATAGCTTTACAACTTAAAAAGAAACAAACAAAAATCTCTGACCACCCCAAAAAACCTGACAATAGTTAAAACATTTATTATGAAACCACTGCTTTTTAAAAGTGTGTTATTCTTATTAGTATTATCATCATCTAGTGACCCTTGCTTAAACATCTAATTAGCTAGAAGTCTTGAATGAAATAGCTTTGTCATGCAGGATGAACTGAAGACAAAAACTATCACCACCTCGTTTCACAGCATAAAAATACAGTAGCATTATACATCTAGTTGTCAAGGAATGGTTTGCAAAAGGAACCACAATGATCACAATAATGCAAAAAATAACTCAAAGTACACAGTTTGCTTTGATAACAAAACCTTTTCAAAATCCCGATGCTGATATAGAGAATACTCATGTTACTCATTCTCAACTTCAAATTACCCATATTCTATAGGCGTATGTGTGTGTATTTTTATATATAAATATGTAGATATGAACATATACATATAGATATGAATCCTTAATGTTAAATGAATTTTGGAGAACATAACAAATCACCAAAAATTTAACACACCATGACAAAATCAATAGCCATATATTGAAAAGAATCAGAGGACTAGAATGATAACCAAGTTTAGAACATTTTCTTACAGAATTTGCTGGAGCTGCACGTGCCTGGCACATAGCAATGTTTCAATCCAGTTTCAGAAATCATAAATAGGGTTATAAATGTAAGATGTGTTTGTTACGCACGTCATTTTCTTCTCTGTCAATCCTGAAATTTTTACAAAGACTGTTTACTTGAATCTTTTTAAATTCCCCTGTGTGGATTTATTCATGCAAAGTCTTTTAATTAGAAGACCACAATTTGTAACAGTTACAGTTGAATTGTATCAGTTAAAGTTCAGTCAGAATACAAAATTGCCCTTGACTCAAGAGCCAGTACAAGGGGTGCTTTCAGCACTAAAGGACAATTATTGCAAAACCAAAGACAGAATTAATAGGGCTCTTTCAATTTAACAGCAGAAGTTTAATACACAGAGACCCATACATACTTTTTTTTCAGGACTTCAAAAAAACCTCCATACTATAGTGTGCTAATAAATATATATTAAAAGATTATAAAATTAATAAAAACTAAATGATAGCAATGAAACATAGAAGATGTCTACATTCCTAAACATTTCATTTATAGCTTTTAAACAGCATTGCAGACCAAGTTAAAAAAATGCAGCCTTTTTTGATAGGTTTGCAAGTATTCAAGTAATGTCTACTGAAAGGCACCTCTGAGAATTTCTGTTTCAACAGCTAAAACTTAAGTCTTACCTGGAAAAGGATGGCAGCATAAAACCAAGTATGTAAATACAGTGATACAGTTTAAAATCCTTAGTGCATATAAAAACATAAATGCTCTTTGTTCCACTCTCCTTTAAACTGGCATGTATGGCTTGCTGCAAGATATACCTGATCTAGTCTGGAGACTGGCGTGCCACCTATGGTGGAAGTGTACTGTTGTGAAAAGAAACATTACTAGGGAAGCAGTAGAACATTTCTTTTCCATGGCTACATTCTTGTGGATGCAAGATAGTCAAAACAAACCCAACTGTCATCACTAGCACACCGACAGCAAGAATCAGGCAGGATATGAGGTTATCTGAATGGTTCCATCGCTCTTTGGACAGCCTTAGATAACACGCTGTTGGGATGATAAAAACAAGTGGGGTAGCACTCAGAACTCCCTGTGTGTGGGAAACAACAATAGAAAAAACCCTCATAAGCATGTATATTTAGATGTGAAGAACAAAACCCTAGATTTTTAAATGGTTGTGATTAGATTGATGCAACAGTAAAGCCACAGAATAGAGGCCTTTTCCAGTTTTGCTATATGGAAAACTTTCTTTTCAAAGTCACAAATAACTTGCAAAAATATCTGTAAAACTATTTGAAATAATTCAGATTTATTTAAATGCTTTTGCTTTGCTGATGAAGAATAATATTTTATGTTGCACCTACTAGTAAATCTGATTACCAGAAGTTTCTCAGCTTGAGAAGTACAGTAAAATTCCAAACATAATAGTTCTGCAATACTGCAACTGACTTAAAATATTTAAGATCATTCCGTGTAGAAGTCTAGATATAATACTGCCTTAAAGAAAAAAAAAAAAGGAAACTTCATGTAGCAGTTCAAAGAATTCTGATCGATTTCTACATTTATGACCTGATTTAGGTTGACTTCCCTATGAAAGCAAATCTCCCTTTGAGAGAGTAACCCCCACCCCACTTATTAAAAATTCAGCTCCTCTTTAAATGCTCTCTTAGGGACAGATAAAAAGCACTTGCCTGAATGCTTTTTATAGTAAAGCCACTGCATATTAACATATGAGTTACATGCCAAAAGAGAGCATTTTTATGCAGAAATTTTAAACATTTACTTTGTCACATACTTAACAAACTCTGTGTTTCAACTTAATTATGGTGAGGTGGTAATAAAGCCTACTGAGTATCTCTGCACCATTGTTTGTACAAACTTTTGTGTATTTTTATGGTAGAACCTGTTACCAGCGTCCAGTACAGACATCAAAAATAGGTACATGCGCAAAGTATATTCCTCATAAAAACCAAGACTTAAATATGTGAAGCAACACAAATCACCCTCCCAGTAAAAGAACAGCACAGCAAAATCCCTGGACCCTTGACTCCTGTATGACTGAATGGTTTCCCTGGGGAATTACCATAGGGCAAACACAATGCCTTGTCTTTTGTTTTAAAACCAGAAAGCAGGGAAAAAGTAAGCAGAGTCAGAGAAACAGCAGCAAATGCCATCTGTGGTGAAGAGCCAAAAGACAGCTCTTCTGCTGGACAGAAAGCCGGCTGAAAAGACAGATCATCCTTCTTTCACATGTAAAGACTCTGCCTATTCATTTTTCTCTACAGGTGGATATCAAGACTGAACAATCTTTCTAAGCATAATGATTACATCCAGTAAATATGTACAGCTGTATTGCCAAATTCTCTCTTAAAAAGGAAAAAAACCCCCACAAGATATGACCTACCCACTCAAATGCGTGGCTATCAACTTCTATTTGTAACTGAATCAAGCTGTCAGCTTGACTATTGAGTAATTGCTTAGGCTGCTCTGGGTAAAGATATTGCATTGATGGAATGTTTGCTTTTGAGTGATTATTTTAAAAGAGCTTAATTCCAAAGAGGAATCACACATATTTATTCATGCTAGAAAGACTCACTGGCAGTTCTCTGGTGTAAATTCATTCTTAACATGTTATACCATATAATAAATGTAAAACATATATGCATTTATAGACATATATGGGCACACATAGTTAATTAGGTTCATTATACCAGTATTCAGATATTTGGCCAGAATAGGCATGTGTGTATGTATGCACACATTTAAATACTTTTATTGGTGTGGATATACACACACAGAGGTGAATTTTCTGCACTTGTAATGAAAAAACAAAGGGGAAAAAAGATGGAAAAGAAATTACCAACAGATGCCATGAATGAGAGATTTTAATGGAAATAGGCATTCCAACCAAACCAATAGGAATATTGTTTATTTTGAGCTAGTTATAATTTGGAAAGGATTAACTGAGAAGAAACTATGAAGGTAATTATTTTAAATAGAGGGTAATTGGATAGCTTATCTGAATATTCAGACCTGTTCTATAATATTAGTGTAAGTATGACCTGCTAAATCATTGCTACAAAAATCACTCATTACTGCTTGGTTAGCAGATAAACTGCACTGTGGATCAGAACAGTGTACATATATCAGAATGTACATACAAGTACATGTATCATGTAGCATAGAGAACAACTCCCTCCATTTTGTTCCATCAGTTTTAGGTAACCATTCAATATATGGCTTGAAATTGTCAATGAATGCACAGAGGCAATTCTAAAATATTTCTATAAAGAAGCAAAGGCTGCCCTTAAAAAGTTTTCTCCGCCTTCTAACTTTTATATCCTGGGTATGGTATTTCCACACCTGCTTTTTTTATTAAAAATAGCTGACCTGAAATTGAAGGTAAACTGTTAAAGACAAGCAATGTTTACCATAAATGTAGATTAGTTGGGGTTTTTTTAACATTTCCTTTGATTAAATGTACATTCTGTGCCAAAACAGACCGACTTCATCTGGTAAGCCTACTTTGCTAATTAGTAGTCTAGGACTCCAGTAGACTACATGGCATTTCCAGCCAACCAAAAAAGTTATATAAATGTGTTAAAACTGGTTGAATTCAGTAAGTGCCTTGTGTGGCCTGCCTGGTAAGGTCCATCTCTGCTATGAGGCAATACCAGACACAGGAATGTTTACTGGCAAACAAAGCAGTTTCCTCCTAAAAATCATACATTCAGGTTACAAAATTACTCAGTTTCGCTCCCTGTTAAGCCCAAAGCAGGGAAAAATTCCAGTTACTGTGTCTGTGGTCTCACTACTACTGGTTCTCTTTCTCCCCACCCTTCCCTACCCCTCCACTTTGTTTTTTGCCCCTTTGGCACAAGGAAGACATTAGGATCTGCCCCAGTGTTTAGTAAATTTGCCAACTCCATCAGAAGTAGGGATTAGAGAAAGAAATGCTAGATTCACTACTGCAACACAGTTAGGATGAGTATTTTAGTCATTTCAACTGCAGTTTAACTACATTTGGTTAAGTCCCAGGCGCTTGCCATATCTCCAGAAATTTTCTAAAAGCCCTCCCCAATCATATGAACTTCACTTCCTGAACTTCCTTTCTCCTTTAATTATCTGATTTTGAAGCAGTGAATAATTCCCTTTTTTCATACTAACATTTCTACTGACTACTATGTCAAACTGCATAAGATTTTCAGTAGAGCTGTGGATTTTTCAGAGTTTTGTTTTCTAAAAGAGTGATTTATTAAATAAAAGAGTATATAGGTTCACTTACATTCAGCTCTAAAACTATTCCAAGGCAATCATACACTAATGATACACCAGTCGCCACAGCAATAATAATTACTGTCACAACAATATGGAAAACTGTTGAGAGGTTCCCATGGAAAAACACATTGGCAATCACCTGAAACAGAACCACAATTTTAAACCTTGATTTTGCTCTTTATTTTAACAAACAGCTTATTCCAAATCCTCTAACCTTAGGAAACTAAAAGAATGGTGAGAATACACTGACTGAACTTCATCTATCTTGCTTCAAGAAAACATCTTCATCCACTTCCAGAAATAACTCATAACAAGCATTACGAAAATTGCAGAACACTTGCAAGACTGACTTAAGTTATACCTGCAGGATTTAGGCTATACTTACTTTCTTCTCATTTGCCCACTACAGAATAAAAACCACTTACAATTATTTATTGAACAGATGGATTTCCTGGATGGAGATACTTTTACAAAGCAAAACTAGTAAGCATGATAAATATGCTATTTTCAGCTATTCTCAACATAACAACAGCAACATTTATGCCAAACTTGGCATTTTAAGCAGTCCTGATATTATTAAGTAATTATTAATATAATCTTGGATGATATAATAATACATGTAATACAACATTATATTGCCAGAATCTAAACGGTACAACTAGTACCTCACACTCATTGCATGCAGCAGGGTAGGATATGCTGATAGTTATTATAGATCAACCATTGACTTCAGCTACATTATGTATCAATAGTGTCAGAATATTATTAATATATATCAACATTGTAAAGGGAGAATGTAATAAATGCTTACCTCCCTGGTCACAAAACATTCAAGAGGGAAGGTCAGAATTACCGTAACTCCATAACAAAACCTTCCAAATGTAGCAAGGTTGTCATCTCTACAGTAGTTTTCAAATATATCTCCTGAGGCATAGCAAAACATCAATTAGTTTGAACTTCATGTCATTTGCCTGTTTGCAAACTGAAGTGTAAGTTACTGGAGTAATTGAGACTTTCTGATCCCCTCTCCTGATGCATATCAAGAAACTGTAGTTACAGTAATAAATTACATCCAGGAGGAACTTTCACCCTATCCTGCTAGTAGCAGTGTTTTTATTTCAAGTAGCATTTATCTTTCAAAAATATTTTAACATATACACATTAGCATTTGTCATCTGTTATCTTCCCCTTAGCACAGATTTTGTATTATACACTGGTGTTTGTTTAAATAAATGCATGACAGATTCAGAAAGAAAGCTTGCATATAAAAGATACATTTCCTTTAAAAATGTGATTCCTAGAACAACAACAATTAATACAAGGAAGACCAGGGAGTTACATCTGGAGAACTGCATTATTACCTAGCAAATCTTCTTACACCTAACAACAAAAGCATTGCTAGAGTATTCAAATCATCATCTTGCTTAGTGTTTACCAGAAAGAATCTGGAATAATGATCTGAGGCACAAGAGACACTGCAAGACCGTGATCAGATGATCTACCACGTCTTTTCTACCTGATTACTATACTGTCTTATGATTTTCTACTTTTAGGATCACAATGGCACTGCAGAAGCACGAAGGTGTACTTTAGAGAAAACAGCCAAAATATTTTGACAGGGGAGACAGAAGGTAAGATGGAACTTGCTTACAGTAGAGTCATATGCCGAGGGACAGCTGCAGTCAGAGCTTTCTATACTTGAAATATCTCAGCCAGTTTGCGCTTAGTCTAGCTACAGTTGCATCTAGGACAGTAAGTTATTCTGCATAAACAGCACTGGAGGCAGGAAAAAAGGAGGACAGATCAACCAGTAACCCCCATCCTACAATTCCTCTGTTCTCAACTATGTGCTGCTGGAAAGGAAGAAGCTTGGAAGCCTTCTCCGACAATTTGGAACAGCACTATTAAATAACAGAAAATCTGCTTGCTTACAAAATGTTTATTTTTCCTGAAGAAGCTAATGCACTGCACAAATTTATGCCCTGTTCTTCTGAAAGCACCTTTTCCACTTCAACAAAATGATGTTAACCAGCATGATGTAACATTGATTATATATATTTATACATATATGTACATGAATATACACACAGAGGTGACAGTAGGATTAGTTACAGCAGAACAGCTGTTGTAAACATAGGAAATACCTCTAAGTCAGCTAGGATGTTGCATTAACACAGACAAGAAAAGATACAGGAGAATGTACAGAAGTATATGCCAGGCACCCTGTAGAAAAATCAAGGCAATTTTTGTTCTTACTGCTCTCTGCTAGTGGACCATGTGGCTAAATTATAGATACTTAGAACTCAGGAGTATTTTGATTATGGAAGTACTCAAAGGGGACTTTCACTGGTGAGGCTTACACTTGGGAATCTGACACCTAGCCGACATCTTTGTATCCTGTTTTGGTTGTTAGGTAACTACAAGGAATGTCCTATTTCTGTCCAAACGCAGTATGATTTTGGTGTTTTTACAATCACTAAGACAATCACTACGATATTAACAGCAAAAGTCAGACAGGAAAGTGGAAATGTAAGGATTACAGCAAGCACCAGAATTGAGGGATAGAGCAGTTTACCTTCTGTGTATCCTGTAAAAGTCATATATCCACATGCAGCGAACACTACACTGATAACGAGAGCGAGTGAGACAGACACGTGTGTGACTCGAGACCAGTTCTTTAATGTGGGTTCTTCCAGAGACCCATATATTAAAAAGCTGTTATGGTTGCAGATGAATGCTGAAACACACATAACAGTTAAAGCAAATGTATGAATTCATGCATATATGCATATGAAATAAATTTACGGACTGAATATTCCAAGGTAGAAGAGACACAGCACAGTTTGAATCCACTCAATATTATATACAAACACTAATCCTGCAACGATTGGCAAAGACAAATGGCTTGAACTTTTACTTATTTGATTTGATAAAGGTTTATATGCATCCTGAGATGATTCTGATTACACTACCCTAAAATGCCATGCCATTTCCCACCATCCCCACCTCCATTCTACCTGTGTTTCCTCTTCCTGCTCTTCTTTTGCTTAAGAACCCAACAGCAGTTTTGAGATTTTTTTTTAAATCCACAGAGCCATTTGCTATTTTCAGGCTTCCTATGACATCCATTTTAGGCAGCAGCAAGCATTCGGAGGCCTCAGATTATCAGAGCATTAACAAGAAGTAATATGTCAGATCCTCCAGGCAAGAACAGATTTTAAAATGAGGATAATGGAGGTGAGTTGAGACTCACCTGAATGGTTCATTGTGAGAAATGGGAAGCACCAGGCACTCTCTAGTGAATGTATGCATTGCAGTCTAAGATTTTTCTGTTAGAGGTTACTCAAGAAAATGCAGAATGATCACAGCCTCCTCAGTTTATCAGTTAGACTAACCCTATTGGTGCAGGTGTTTTAAGGTGACCTGGACAGTTGAGCTGGATTCATGTGCCATGCCACTTGTTTCTGCTACAGTGGCAACAGCCTCTACGGCCAGATGGGCAATGGATGGGGATAATGTCTTAAACCAGAACAATTAAATACACTTATGGATGGCTCAAAGTCAACTTCATTTTTTTCTAAACCAGCTTAACATGAATATAAAAAAATTACAATTAAAAATATGCAATTTCTAGGCCCAAAAGATTAAATAATTTCTTACAGTTGATCTAAATATTGAAAATACAAAAAAAATTACTTACCAAATGACATCACCCCAACGGCTTGTACTGCATTTGATTTTGCAAATATCCATGCATTTGCTGATTTGGGTCTAAAACAGACATTTGTTTTAATAGATTATCCTCTTTTCAACTATCAGTTATTAAAAATAATTTCAAATACTATGCTGTAATACAGAACTGCTAGTCAGATCTCCAGAACTCTCTGAAGTAGGCCACAGTGATCATCAACAGTAAGTTGAAACTGGGGAGATACACTTCTCACCTCCCTTGTTTTGATTAAAGTATTTCTGTAATCAGTTTTTAGAGCCAAAAATGTCAGCTTGTTTCAGTGACCAGTTTTGTAAATAAACTCTTCAAGTCATGATATACCAAGAAATAGCAACAGGGAAGGTAAAAGCTGTTATTGATCTGACTAAGGTTATCTCAACCCAAAATCTCTTCTGACTAGAGGCAATTTCTTCCTTTGAATTTGCACATGTAATCCATGCAGTCTAGAGATACTTTTTTCCTAGGCTACAAATCAAGTGAGGCAGTTTGCCTTTCTTTACACCTGTTACAACTAGTCCTCATAGCAAAGGGATTCTGCTCGTTCCCAAAGGAGTGATAAAATACAGTGTAAGAGAGTATATAGAGACTTTTATAATCAGGCAAGAATGTAATATCCCCCACATCTGCTCCTCTAAGATACACCCACAATTTTGGGCCTGTGGTAATTGTAATTCTTACAGGAGGACCGCTGAAGACCATCAGCACACTTCGTTAAAACCCATTTGATGCATGAACTTCCTCTGAATAAAGAGCCAAAATGAAGGAAAGGAGAAGGACACAAAACATCTTTTACGAGAACTACAATTTGCTAAAAATATCAAATTCACAAGCCAGTTGAATACTGTATTGGTAAAATTAAAGCACACGCAAAGGAACAGTACGGGGAAGACTGTTCTTAAAAGTTGGCTGCTGCTAACTTTGCTCTGTTTTTATTTAGAGGGAAAGCTGCTGCCACCTGAGGCCTTAGCTGCTATTTTCCTACTGCCCTGGAAAGCAGTATGGCACTTACGCCAGCTCTGTGAAGGTAACAATGGCAGCTTTGTCTCTCCCTCTATCTGGTGAACTAGCTGGTTTTGACAGCCATAGTGGCATACACTATGCTAGGTTTCATTGCTTTGAAATGTTTATACTCCACCCCCACCCACTAAAAAGAAAAAAAAATACAAAAAAGATGTTGCTGTTTCCCCTTTCAGAACTCGTATCTTACTATTTCATGAGAGCTCAAATAGTCAATCCTTTGTTTTCTGTATTAAAAAAAAAAAAAGATTTAGCATCTAGTGCACGTTCAGTTCAGACTTAGAGCACCTTTTCAACTCTTAAGCTGTGGTGGCTAAGCTTAACTTTGCAGTGAACAGAACCTAAGCATCAAAATCAAGTTCAAGTTTTTTGTCCTTAGATGCCGTATATTGTCTTGACTGCTGTAACATACTGCTTCTAGTCTTAAGCAGCTGAATATGGCCCTCCTAAAACATTCTCAGATTCTGCATGTAGGTGTAATAAATCCTATGGATGAAACAGAGATATCTGGCATTTGTGTTGTGAAATCAGAGTTCTGACCCGCTATAGCTGCTCTAGTTCCTCACATAGAATAGCCTCCCTTAACTTGATGCCACTGATTTCAAATCACTAGAGATGTCTGTGGACAATTCATATTTATAATTTTGAATGTATTATTCTTCAGGAAAACATTCACATCTGATTAGAAAAAAAAAAATCAATAATATACCAAAATAAAAACAGAATACAGAAAGCTAACATTACAACTGTTCCATTCCATAACCACTAGAGGTCAGCCTTGATATCAAACACACAGAGTGAAAATTTGTTTTATTATTCTTTGACAACAAAATTTGTGAAAGTCTCCTCACCCCCTTCTCTATTAATAATTAACACTTAGATTATCTAATACACTATAAACCAAAATATTTTTAAAATGCACAGAAATAAAGAATGCTTTTGTCCGAAACACACTTAATTTATGTGAAAATGGTACATCCTGTGCAACAGTATAGCTATATTATAAGGTCCTATAAATTGGGATTTAAAAAATGGAATGTAGAACGCATGTGAATTTCAGTTGAAACATTTTGAATAAAGTGGCCAAATAATCAATTATAAAGACACAAATCACAGGAGCTAGTTTTCCCCCTGCACAGTGTTAGCTTATGCACTAGCAATATGCAACAGAACAAAATAGAGCTTTGCTTTATGGATGAATGACAAATCAGATTAGGAGCATTATTTGGGGGGAAAAAATCCAAAAGAACATAATCCTGCTTATTTAGCAGCATTAAGAAGATAAATTCTTTCCATTCTAGTTGTGGAAGGGAGGAAGAACTTAAGAATTTCAGATCCATGATTTGAACACTACCAGCAGACTGCAATGTCATACAATGCACGTTGGTACAGATGACATATGCAACAGTATAATACTATTTCTTACAGTAAGTCATATACTGCTGCATGTGTTTTGAAAAACATTTTCATACCTTGGGAATAGAGGGATCTCGCACAGGTGTGATACATAAACTAAGAAGTGAAAGCAACACAGTAAGACATTTCATTTCTGAGTATTTAGAACTAAGAGTCAACAGCTCTAGAGTTCTGACCATATCAACAACAAATCACCCCCAAGTCCCCTCTGCAGGAAATACACACTTATGCAAAGCTCCTGGAAAAGGGTGCAGGTGACATGAAAGCGTGTATATAAAATAAGACTTCAGACTGGCAAAGAGAAAACTGTGTCAGGAAACAGTAGCTGTTAGTTATGGAAGAGCCATACACTCTGAATAATCACTTAAAATGACTCAGAAGACAAAGGGCACCTAATGGAAATACCAAGTGCCAAGGTAAACATACATACATTCATATAAATGCATGCATGTGTAGGCAGATGCAAAGACAGGCTGAAAGATTCTAAAGACTCTATCACAAGAATACCAGGTAACACTACAGCTATTCTGCTTCTTCAATCCTGCTACTACTGTTCAAGAAGGAATTTTTTTTTTTTTTTCCTTTGGAAGGACCTTTGTTCTGGCCAGTTTGACCTACATTCTTGTTAGGAATTGTTAGCGGAAGATTTTAACTGCTGCTCATACAAGAACAGCAGTAGGAATATCCATGAAAGACACAACAGCTAGCTTACTGCCCCCCACTCAGTGTATAAAGACACAGGCTACGCCTGCATGAACGCAGTTGTTTTCATGCTGGAGAAGTATTTAGGTGAAACACAATGCAAGTTAACAGAAGAAATACATTTGTGATACTAAATGCATTTGTTGAGAGCTGTACTGTCTATCATGTATAGTAGTTGCTGTAACACAAAGTAAAAATGGAGAGGTAATATAACTGTGATTCTTGGAACAAAAATAATAAAAAGATCAAACAAAAAGACATTCCAGGGAAGATCCCAGACAGGAAAAAGTCTCAGGTTTTTGTCAGTAAGACAGACTGACAATTAGAACTGCCTGTAGGAAGGTATTGAAGCCTAGCAATGAAGAAAGCCTAGAGATTAAGAAAACAAGACTCTACTCAGTCTTCAGTATACTTAAGGGAAAGTATAGCACAATAAACATGCTAGTGAGTTCAAAAACTTTTGAAAATACTTGTGTTTATCTACATAAGAACAGGGGAAAATGAAAAGAACAAATGAACCAGACAAAGATTAAGACCACCTAACAGGGTAAAAGGCATTTCACATCCAGATCATGAGTAAGAGTTGGACAAATTTGTTTGGCAGTCTAAACCCGCATATCTTCTACTTCTTGTAAAATGTTTGCAGTGTAATATGTCCCATCTGAACATCCATGCTATGGAAAAATCTTTTCTGTCATTTATGTAGAAATGCTGCCAAATATAATACAGCAGCAGAGTGCATCAGAAGCAAAATATCTTTAAGGAGAGCAAGAGAAACGTAAGTCCCTATTCTCAACCCAGCCTGCAGGTATGAAACAGTGACGGAAAAAAAAAAAAGTTAATTTCTAGAGAGGAAGCAAAGTCATATGTTTGACATGGGAGCTACATGTTGGAATGAACAAAAGACTTCCACCATTTTGGACTGAAGATCAGTTATAAACCACCAAGTTTAGGTGCAAACCAACAGTTATCAAAATAATCCAGGAACACATGGCAGACTAATTCAGGTTTAATTCAGTGATTTAGACATTTAGGAAACTAACTGTAAAATTTCAATTCAATTCTATTCTAAGGTAAAATATCTTTTGATTTTTTGTTTAAACTTTAGAAGTTTAAAGATACTGGAAAAGTTTATAGATGCTGAATATAACTTCAGTCAATACAATGGAAAGAAAATTAGTAATGCCCACATCAGCCTTGAATTTTATATTAATCAAAGTAATTTTGGTTGTTAAAGAACACAGACAAGGCAAAGCTATATATCATCCCCACTTAGTTACAGCTGCTTTAACTCCTCTTTCTTCCTTAATGAACTTCATAGTTCTGTAAATATACAGTAGCTTAGGTTTTATTTTTTAATTTCATCACACATTAAAGTTAATCTTTGCTTACTATTGGATTATTTATATGAAGGAAAGAATCAACTTTCTACTTTCAAGTTATTTTCCTGAACACTTGGTGTTTCATCCCTGTGATCAGCTGCCAGTTGAGTAATTCTCACATCCTATTTATGTGTAGCAGATGCTCTTGAAGTTTTTCCTAGAGATTCATGTATTATGCAGACACTGACATCATGACATTCTTTCCAAAAGAACACCAAATTAAAATGATCCATCTTTATAAGCTACATAAAAGATTGCTTTTTACAGCAATGAATGTTAGTTTCAGCTTTGAAGCATGAAGTTATTTTATGCAGTATTAACATACTGCACATTTACAGTTTGAGATAATTCTAACCCATTGTTTTTGATCACAGCAGAAAAATACCCAGCTATAAGCAGGTGGAAATAAAGTAAAGAAGGGATCATCAAAATGTATTTTTATCCACCATCTCAAACAATTGAGAGTAAACTCTGGGTCCAGAACACTGGGTTTTATCTGCAGGTTCATTATGTCCTTCAGGTAACAATAATCATATGGATGATATTAATCAAAGGAAAAATCCCAGCCAAAAAAACCCCTCAGTTTCATATTTGTCATAAGAGGAAATAAATTAAAGCAAATAATCCCTCATCACAAATATGTTGGTTTTTTTCCTGAGAACTAACAAGAAAATAAGATTTTTATAATGTACCTGGACAACCCGCTCCACTCCCAAAGCAATTAAGAAAAAAAAAAAAAAAAAGCAACACACCAAAGACTTATAATTGCTGTTTTTCAGCCTATAGCTTCAAGCACATCAAATCATTAAAAACAGTAATAATGTTGTTTCGCTGATGGTCTAACACATTGCAGGAAGTTTCTAGGAAAGATGATACGCTCTGTTATCCAAATAACAGATATAATTTTCAACTAGAACATGAATTGCATTGAAGCAAAAAGACAGTTTTATCATTCCCAGGCAATCTTGTACCTCTCAAAGGGAAGCAATATTCACTTTGAAATATCTAAAGGTAAGTGAAAACTGATTACTACTCAGAGAGTAATTATCAAAGTGGGAAGATACCTGAATGGGATTCCAGTGGAACCTGACCTGAGCCCAGCACTTCTGAATGTATTCAGCAGTAACTTGAATGATAGAACAAAAAGCAAGAAGCATCCTTAACAGAAAGCATGAAATGTGCAGTTAATACAAGCATGCTAGAGAACAGGGTGAAAAAAGAAAAATCACAAATATGTTGGTAAATGGAGAAATTATCTGATACAGCAGTATTCAATTCTGTAATGACAAATTCTACAGTTACGCAGGGGAAAAAAGGCTTCACAAGAACAGGGTGGGAGAGAACAAGCAAAAAAACCCCAAACTCCAGGAGAACAGAGTAAAAGAAAAGAAAAATTGCCAGCTCACAGTTCTGCAGAGAAGGGCTTGGTGCTTCTGTTAGACTGCAAACTCAAGGCATGTGCACACTGTCATGCTATTTTCCAAAGATGCAAACGCGAAACTAGGTTACATACACAGGAGCGTGGCAATCCCCCAAAAGATAGAGTTGAAAGGGACCTCAAGACACTTTGCATGTAAGATACATCAATCTTTCTTCTCTGCTCCTCAGTTGGGGAGGAGACATCATCACAGGCAGTTGGGGCACCACGATACCACGTTAATTTACAGAGAACTTAAGGCAGCCATTAAGAATGATCAGTAGCACAGGAAATGACGAGAAACACTAAAGGAACTGTGTTTGTTTAGTCTACAGAAAGGATCACCAAAGGGGGACAAGTTACAGCTCTTTACAGGTGTTTTTTAAGCATTTGAAAAAGAATGAACAGTTTGCTGTCCATATCCACTGTGGTTAGGCCAGGAAGCAATCAACATGAAATGCAGTAAAAGAGACATAAAATACACATGTAGGAAGAATTCATAAAAAAAGCCTAGTTAAGAACTGGAATGGGAAATCATGGAATTACCAAGAACAAACTAGACAATCACCTGTCATCAATGACAAGCATACAATCTGTTCTGCCATGTAACAATGGTAAGCATTAAATCTTCTCTCTTGGCCCTATCAAGCCTTTATCTAGGATTGTACAAATTCTTTTCCTATATGACAGATCTGAGGACTGTGTTTCATAACCATGATTTTTTAAATCTCTTTGAAAACTTTGACTTCTATTTTATTTAATAAGGATTCACAGTAAATGCATTATTTACTCGTTTCACTTGTTATAATACTATGATGGGACCCATATTAACATATATTAGTGTTCTTTATTCTCACTGCAAAAAAAGAGATGGCATACCATTATACCATTAACAAAATATTAGGAGAGGTTTTTAATAATTAAAGTATATGTCTATTTCTAACTGTGAAATTCAAATAGTAAAACCAGACATTGATAGAATGTTTGTGAGGCAAAAAATTCTGATTAACAGTTTACCAACTTGCTGGTTGCATTTTTGAAAATAAGAAGTGTAAAGGCAAAAATATAAGTCTCTAAAGAATTAAAAAGCAAAACTTCTAGAATCACTCAAAACCCAACATTAGTTATGGTAAGAAAAAATAAAGCCATGCATTCCATAATTTTCAGTGCATCACAACTGTTGAGAAGAAATGGTTACCATAGTAACAAGGTCATCAGTAACCATTATATAGCGCTTCTTCCTTTTTTGACTGGGGATTTTGAGATTACCCTTTACAAATATGCCTTTAACACACAGTATGAAAAACATGCTGCTTCAGAAAGACGGTGGCGGGGAAGTCCCACACTGTTCTGAGTGCATCACTTTATGGATGATAGACAACATCATCTGGTACAACTTTAGAAACTGCTATTCTAGCCATCACCCTAGCATTAAACACAAATGCCCTGCCATTAACCCACGTATCACAGCAGTAAGACAAATGAACAATTATGCATAAAACTGCTGAAACAATCATGGTGGAAGAATTCACTTCTTACAGAAACATTAGAAATACTATATAGAACTATTCCAATAAATAAAAAAGCACATTCAGAAATAGTTTGTCATCTTTATTAATATATCTTCACATTTAAAAGGTAAGGAAAAAGACAGAGCTTCTAGGCCATAAAGGAAAGATAATAGATTCGTAACACTTTCTTGGAATATAATTATAAAAATATTTCTACAACACACATTCATGTGTACTAAATTGTCTAGAACACTCCAGTGTCCAATGTTAAATACCAGATTATGAGTGCTAGAAAACAGTTTTGCATGCTTATATTGTTGTTTTCTCAAATGACAGAATAAAGTTTTTCTTACTGTGTTCTCTTTTTTATTTTCATTATTTGTATTCAATTTTTATTATGAAATCATTGTATTAACAGAAAAAGAAATATTCCTTAGATACTATCTATTTCAAGATTGTATATACAGGCTATCTGACAATAATGGACTGAACTGGTTTTGGCTGGGATAGAGTTAATTTTCTTCCTAGTAGCTGGCACAGTGCCGTGTTTTGGATTTAGCATGAGAATAATGTTGGCTACACACCAATTGTTTTAGTTGTTGCTAAGTAGTGCTTACACTAGTCAAGGACTTTTCAGCTTCTCATGCCCATGGAGAAGCTAGCTGGGAGGGGGAACAACCAGGACAGCTGACCCAAAGTGGCCAAAGGGATATTCCATATGAGGCCACGCTCAGTATATAAGCTGGGTGGAGTTGGCCAGGGGCAGCGATCGCTGCTCAGGGATGGGCTGGGCATCAGTCGGTGGGTGGTGAGCAATTGCATTGTGCATCTTGCTTTGTATGTTATTATTACTGTTATTATTATTACTATTTTACTTTATTTTATTTCAATTATGAAACTGTTCTTATCTGAACCCATGAGTTTTCTTACTTTTACTCTTCTGATTCTCTCCCCCACCCCACTGGGCCAGGGCGAGTGAGCGAGCAGCTGTGTGGTGCTTAGTTGCTGGCTAGGATTAAACCACAACATGGACAAAATTAAAGATTTTTCAAATGACAGACAACCTCACATGCCCATTCAGGAGCCACCTGCTATTAGCCATATCACCCGCAATTTCCAATTAATCTGTAGTTTTTCTGAGACCTTTTCTAAATCTGCTTATATGCAATAGAAGAAAAAAAAAAAGGAAAAAGTATGTTTTAGCAGTTAATTTTGTATTACTGTTAACACAGATTCATTTTTTTCAGTTATCTGTCTCTCCCAGAACAGCCATGTTCCAAAACTATGCAGATACATGGAATAGTGAAATAACAAATTGCATGTGATGAAAAACTCACTTTGTGGCAAGTGTAAGAATACTCACACTTGTGGACTGAATGTTACTGTTCTCACCATCACAATAATCAGGATGACAATGGTTAAAATCAGAGAAATAAGAGATACCTGTAAAGGTAAAAACACGAATTCAGTCAGTAAGCTGCTGAAAGGTTGTCCTCTTAGCAGTATAATGTACTTTTTTTTAAAAAAAGAATAATTAACAACCAAGTAAAGTTCTAAATATCACATGTCAAATATTTATAATTAGAAAGCTTGTCCTATACCATCATATTTTAATTTATTATTCCTTTTGAATAACTAGCCAGTTGCAACTATTTGTCTAATTTTAGGTGACATTCCCATTTAAACATTTCTAATCAACCATGCTCAGCATTTCCAGATCAGGCCTACATCACCCAGTGCTCTACCAGATTTGAGTTCTACTAGCAGTACATCAAAAAATTCCAGTGATTCATATGGAGACCAAAGTTTTGCTTAAACTACTCCAAGTTTTCCAAATTTCTTGGGACAGAAGACAGTCTGAACTTCTAAAATATTTAACATGCTTTAGCCAGATGTAATTGAGTTCAAATACATTAAGATATGACTGGCACATATTTTCTAATGGCATACAAAAAAGTAAACCAAAAATCAACTGCTATTATGATTTACCTTTCCCAGTTTTGCTATGTCTCGATATAAAGATATAGGCAAGGTAAAGATGATGGTGGTAAGAAGAATTATGAAGTGACGGTCAGTAAGTAGGTTATCTGGTCCAACTAAAGCAAAAAAAAAAAAAAAAAATTATTTCTTTAAGAGACTGACATGAGGAACAGATTAGTTATATTTGAAAGGCTAGGAGTAACAAACTGATGTTGGCCAGGCTTTTATCCCCTTTATTCAAGCTAAGTAACACTGAATAAAAGACTAGGCATTAACTAACCTTGAGGAAGCCATACACAGCATGTGCATAATCACAAGAATTCTGCAAATTCAAACCAAATGTATAACATATGGGATATATTATATGACACTTTGGAAGTCTGGCACCTCTATATATAGATTAGTATTAATTTCTTTCATCATGCCTGGGTCAACATTGGCAGACCGCAAGTAAAACATTCTACTACTTCTTTCTGCCATGTACTCTTCAGGATTTTTTGGCACTGTGTGTTGACATCAATTACTGTGCTGTTGAAGATAAGCAAATTCTTAAAGAACTATCCTAAAATAAGTTAATTTTGAGGTGTCTTTTGAGCACCTCCGTTCTTGCTGTCAGCTGGCTTCCACTTGCAAAATACAGATTACCACGTGAAGATAACAATAATTTTATAATATTCCCTGCAATCAGTGAGATTTATTTATACAACTCGTGTTTTTTTCAAGCCAATGACAACTTAAAATAAAACATATCTCAGTTTCAGTCAGGCTACCATGAATCATGGGCTTGAATGAAAGCTTGCTGAATAATTAGGGAAAGTGACTGGCAATTGACATGGGAAGTCTGTGTTCGGTTCCCTCTATTCTTTGGGAGATTATAATGCTTTCCCACCTCTTTCCAGCCAGACATTCTACCAGCCAGGTGAAAAGATGTGCCGTGATGTGGGTTCCTCCTACTACAGAAGTCGTATTGTATATAAATTATCACATATTCACTGTCACTATCAACCTGATCAGGTATTCACAGAACAACAGAGTGTGACAGTTAAAACTGCATCCACACCTTGCAGCCTTTACCTGCTGAAAATTATAGTCCTCCTGTGGAAATCAAACAGTTCATACAAATGCTAATTTCCCCTTCATTGCAGACATGTTCTTTTCAGTTTAATTTACCAGTGAAGAATCATAGAATCATTTAGGTTGGAAAAGACCTTTAA